GCCATCCATGTTTCCTCGGTTTGTACCATCACTGTTTGTTCTCTCTACTTGTCTCCTGTGGAGACATGATCAATCAGACCTTGATGCTCTTGTTGACCAGTTGCCATCTCCCTTTTTACTTCTGGGAGACTTTAATGGACACAACCCCCTGTGGGGTGGTGCTGATATTGATGGGAGAGGTTGTTCCATTGAGCGTATGCTCTCGGATCACAACCTTTCTCTCTTCAATACTCATACATATACTTATTTTCATGCACCTAGTCAGTCTTTTACTGCCATTGATCTCTCGATTTGCTCCCCTTCACTTTTCACTCACTTTTCTTGGATGGTTGACTGTGACCCATGGGGCAGTGATCATTTTCCTATCATTATGAGGGAGGTTGGCCATGGTCGATGCCACCTGACCCGAGTGCCATGGTGGAAGCTGGACCAGGCTAACTGGCCATCTTTCACCTCTCTCTCTGAACTTGATCCTGCCATCAATAGACGACTGTGTGGTTGCAGTAACTGACTATATTGTCCAGGCGGCAGTTCGTTTTATTCCTAAGACCTCGACACGTTTTCCACGGTATCCTTGTCCATGGTGGAGTCCTGCCTGCCAGAGGGCATGGAAGGCTTAAAAAACTGGCCTGGAATACCTTCCCACGAATACCTTTATAACTGCATTGTTTATCAGCAGGCCCGTGCCCATGCTCGGCAGGTTCGACGTCAGTGCCAAAAGGAATCTTGGATTAAATTCACTACTAGCATCTCTTCTACCACCAGTTCCAAAACTGTATGAGACAAGATTCGGAATGTTTCTGGGAGGTATGCTTCCCATCCCCTTTCCATCTTGCTCTCCAATGGCCAGGAAATTGCTGATGTCCAGAGCATTGCTGATGCTCTCGGCCATAGCTTTTCTTGTGCTTCTAGCACTTCTGTTAATTCCCCTGCCTTCTTGGCCATCAAGTCTCGGGCAGAGCGATCGCCTATTTCTTTTCGGGCGGATCGTCTCTATGATTATAATCGCCCCTTTACA